AACATTTAGTAGTCATACTATATCATTTATCTACTAAACACCCGATCACAGGCATTTATATCATCAAATAAACAAACCTAAACAGAACCTAAATCACAATGGTTATAATGTAGCGTGTATCTGTAAGAGTAGGCCGATCAAAAAACACCAACGCGGATTCGAGCTCGGAACCTTATGCGCTACGTAGGCCTACATCCAAACTCGCGATTTGCGTTACATTGTTATATATATATGATGATAGTTAAATGTTCAGATAAACCTTCGTCCGTGGTCCGTTGCCCGCCAGTCAATACGTGTGTCACTTCGTCCGTCGTCCGGCTGTCCGTCCTTAAATAATTCTTGTAAGCGCTATTTCTCAGACCGTATTGTATGGATCCTTCTCAAATGTCACCTAAAGGTTCCCCGTTGCTCTTAGTTACGTCGATCGCATTTCTGGCGGCCATCTAGAATTATGAAAGTTACAGATTGTTAGCGCTATTGGTGGGAATGTACAAGGCTCTTTCTCGAATTTCACTTGAATGTTCCCCATGGTCTGTCCCGATTTTGGCATATCGAATTTTGGGAATAATCGGAAAACCAAGATAGCTGGCAAGTGGCCATCTTGAACTATGAAAGAAGAATTTTGTAAGCACTATTTCCCAGAGAGTGATATATTTTTTACAAATTTCATATGTAGGTTCCTCATTGTCTCTAAAGAAATTACATTGTTAACAGATGTAATATCTAACGTAGCATATTTCTGCTATCGCGTTCTTTTAAATCAGATTACGTGGACACGTTTCGATATTTATTGCGAAAAATTATTGTTAGTTTATTTGATTTACGAGGAATTTTTTTTAATATATAGCGATACGTGCCTTTAATGTACTGCTCGTTTTAAATAATAAATAATACAATTTTCCTACAATCGTATCTAACAAAATAAGTTAGTATCGGTAATATGAAGAAATTGCTCGACTTAGGCTGTCAGCTCACAAATTAAACATTAAATCTGGGCGTTATGTTGGCACTGTTAGAATTAATAGAGTATGTACAAAGTGTAATCTTAATGACATAGAAGACGAGTTTCATTTTGTTTTAGTTTGCACAAGATATACCGATTTAAGACGGAAGTATTAAACATGTTACTATAGAAATAACCCTAGTGTATATAAGCTTGTTCAATTACTTGATACACAGAATATTAAAGAAATATGTAATCTTGGAAAGTATCTGATAATGTAAAATAAGCGCCCTTCAGATATATGACAGTTTAATTTTGTTTATGTGTGTTGTTCAGTCCTGTTTATTATATGTTTACACTGCTAAGTCGTAACATATCAAGTTAATAACGAACATGAACGTAAACTTGAATCGTTTATAAATATGTGTCGGTGCCGGTGTGTCCAGTCGCCGCTGCCGCTACTTTTATCAGTTGCCAGTTCGATAAGATAGACCAGTGTGATTAGCGGGTATAAATATAGGGACGTTAGATGTACCACACCCCTACGTTTACCTCACAGGGGAGAGTGGTAATAAGCATACCCTCCCCTCCCTCCCGGCAGTGTCAAGCTAAGGTTCTAAGTCACCCGTGCTGCAGCCGAGTCCACCAAAAGACTGCTACTGTCCAAATGTTTTTGTTTCAGCGTATACACATCAAATACACGTACTTCGGTCACATGAAGTATGCTTCAAACACAAGACAGACAACTCCTACGAAAAAACAATGCTTTCATCAATTTTCTGCAAGCTTGGTAATTTTCTTTAAATTTCGCAGAAAAAGTTTACCAAACAAATATAAAATTAAATTAGGTTGTTTGTTTCGGAAATTAAAATGTTTATATTAATTTCTTAAACACGTCGATAAAGAATGTCAATTTGATCATTAACCAGAAAAATCACTACTGAAGTTTAAAATAATATATATGATCCATACGCCGTGTGACATTGAGTAGCCCTTTTCATTAAGACCCGAATGATATCATATTGGTCAGAACTGATTCGAGGTAAAGAAAGTAAAATAAGTAATATTTTGTATAGATTATCAATTATTATCAACGAAGAAAAAAAAAGGTTCCTTCGCATGGATAGAAAGCATAAAGAGTACTCTGAGCAATTGCGGACTCTCTAATATCTGATTATACCAAAACCCAATTAATCCAAAGTGGCTTGTTACAAAAATAAAACTTAACTTGTCTGATCAGTTCAAACAAAACTGGGGAGAAATATGCAGAGACTCTCCAAAATCCTCCATATTTAGAGTTTTTAAGGAAGAATTTATGTTCGAAAACTACTTAAATATTCTCTCTAAAAAGATGCTAATACTCTTTGTAGGTTTAGAACCAGAAATAGTAACTTACCTGTAGAAGCCGGAATTAGGAGTAATAAACCAAGACATGAACGTATTGGTCAATTGTGTAATGTAAGAGATATCGGTGATGAATTGCATTATATATTTGAATGTCCGGCATTAGATAATGAAAGAAAAATCATTCTATCCTCTACGTTAATTAGACGTCATAGTGTATTATCGCTTAAGGGTTATAATGTCATCGAAAAGAAAAGCACTCCAAAAAAAATTATGTTCTTTTATCAAAAAAAGTATTATCATATGTAACTGCAGTACATCTCCGTTTCTATTATACTATATCCCTCTATATAACCACGCATTCTAATTACTGTACATGAAATCTTTGTATTTACATATCTCTGTATACCATTGTAATTCAAAGGTGTTGAGATAAATAAAAAGATTTAAAAGTTTGAACATCAAAACAATAAGTTGATGACTAAACCTCGCTGATATAATTACGCTATGTCTATACAACATTGTTTTTATGAAATATTTGACAACATTAAAATAATCATACCATTACTGAACATACTCAAGTACCATTAAGATAAAACTATTTTTTTATACAATTACTTAACTACATGACAACATTAATTTATTTTGTACTGGACATCATTTATATATTAACGTAACATCTGAACAACATTGATATCATTATTTAGTTACTGGACATCATTGAAATAGTTACGTTATAACTTACCAACATCGATTTAATTACGTTATATCTTTTAAAAGTGTCAAAAATACTTAGTTACTTAACAAAATTGATAAACTAATCCCAACCAAATTAATTATTTAATCGTAGAATGTGTGTTGTAGTGATGTTTTCTGTGGTAAGGGAGGTAAGCGATTCTTGATTTACATAATTTAGATCGCTGGTATATCTCAAAGGTAAAGGAACAATGTAACAGGAAAGAGTTAAAAAGCGCTTTGTCAATATTCGAATACTGCTCTTCATGTTGACACGTGATCGCTTGTCTCGGAATTCTCAACAACGATCCAGCCCTCATCCAAGCTGGTTTATTTTGTAGTGTTCTCAAACATTGTTGCATTTGTGTATTAATGTTATATTCGGGAGTTGATATCAGTTTCTTTAGAAACTTTTTGATCGGATCAGACGTTCTCCATATTTCGTCTGACCAGACTGACTACTTTTGGATTAATTCACAAAACAGTTTTTTCAAAATCTAAACTGGGTTTTAGCTTAGATACAAAAAATAAGTATGATCGTACAATTAGGTACGTACATCGCAAAATAACAGCTGACTGCATGTCATCATTCATGTACATACAGTCCGAACACCATACATGTACATACAATCCGAACTTCATACATGTACATACAATCCGAACATCATACATGTACATACGATCCGAACATCATATATGTACATACTGCCCGAACATCATACATGTACCTAAACAGTCCGAACATCATACATGTACATACAGTGCGAACACCATACATGTACATACAGTCCGAACATCATACATGTACATACAGTCCGATCATCATACATGTACATACAATACGAACATCATACATGTACATAAAGTCCGATCATTATATATATATAAACAATCCAATCATACATGTACATACAGTGCGAGCACCATACATGTACATACAGTCCGATCATCATACATGTACATACAATACGAACATCATACATGTACATAGAATGCGAATATGATACATGTACATACAGTCCGAACATCATACATGTACAATATACAATCCGAACATCATACATGTACAAACCGTCCGAACATCATACATGTACATACAATTCGAACATCATACATGTACATACAGTCTGAACATCATACACGTATATACAGTCCAAACATCATACATGTACATACAGTCCGAACATCATACATGTACATACAATCCGAACATCATACATGTATCTCACATCACACCTGATGTATTACATCTCTGATAACGACTATTAGCTGCCACTAAAAAAATTATAACGTGACAATTTTTTACGATATTTATACGATATCACACTCCATATTTGATATAGTTAGATTCCGTAAAACACGCTTAAGTTTGAAAAATATTTACATTTAAAAGAATTGACTCCAGTTGAAAGATAACATGATTTTTACACTGTGAACCATATAATTTGCGTTATCTTTTTTTTTGTCACAAATATTTATTTTTTGATTGCTCGTTAATGTTCACATGTTTTGAGCAATATCATAGATACAGTAGGTGATAAACAAGAAAACTCTGCCATTTATCTCTATAAAAATGTTTTTTCTTTTTTTCTTTTCTTTTCTTTTAATCGCTCTATCGTTAAAAGATATTTCGAATGTCAGCTTTTCAAACGTGAATATTTTATATGAATTTTTCGATTTGAGAGGTTGGAATTTTCCGTCTGATTTTCTCTGATTTCGTATCACAATATTATACCAATCTAAGTATCGATTTCTATTATAATGATTTACGTTAGATCCCAGTTCCTGTGTATACTGATAAACTGTAAAGTTGAAGTTCAATGTTGTGTCAGTGATAAAAGCTCTAGACGATTTCGTTGTATTATCTTCAATAACGTAAATTGTCAATAAAACACACCTGTTTGGATGATGTCTTTAACGAAGCAAGCCATGTGTCGTAAACAATCCGTAAGTTATCCGGATATACCGTACCCGGCATTACAATGTACGGACGTGTTATTAGTGTATTGAGTCGCATTCCAAAGGGCGCCGAGATAACAACGGGGACGTGTCCCACATCTACACCTCGTCACTTCAAAGACTACAACCATATTCATACATTGATGGAGCGGTAAGTACATGTAAGTATCTCCCGTACTGAGGTTTTATAACAGTACCACCTTTTACATCAAATGAACATGTAAATACAGTGTTTTTACTAAGAACGCGTTCATTTTAATCGTTGAATATGTTGTAGCGGCTGTAGTAATGTTAGACGTACGGAAACCGAAAGAGGAAGTACATGGCGTCACCAATTTACTATCTATGAACAATAGAGTAGGAATCGCATTGTTTGTACAGTAATGCCACCGTCGGTTACCATAATTTGAAGACTTGACGTATCCAACGGCGTCATTTTCTAATTACATACAGAGCGGAAGTAAGAGGAAAATTGGGCAAATCCTCGTTCTATAAATAAATTGTTTTGGTATGGTTGACCGAAAAACGTGTGTATATGCATGTGCCTGCGTGGATACGTGCATGAGTATGAAGGGTTGTCAGGGCTTGTCTTCCATTTAAAACGCATTGTCACAGGGTATCACTTAAATATAAACTTTATTTATTTAACAACAATTATGAAACACGTTATTTCAACTTATATCAATCACTCTTGCTTTGTTGCCCGGATGGGTTGCGTGGGGGTCTTGGTGTGGGAGGAAACCGGAGTACCCGGAGAAAACCTACGTGGTCGGGCAGGTGACCGCAATCTTTTTTACGTCCGATCGGGGAGTCGAAAAGCAACTGCGCTATCCACTGCACCACCCGACCACCCATATCACTTATAATGGCAAAAAGGAACTCAATTGTCCGACTACAATCATCATTGATTATATACTATATCTCTGGCAGTATAAGTAGCTTTAACGTTGACATTTACTCTTTTTCTCATGTTCGTTATATACGATTTGTCAGGCAGTAAATTTATATAATTAAAGAGGCAAACTAGACATACAAAAAAGGTGAAACATACATTTTAAGACATTTGAAGCAACATAAAAAAAAACCAACACAACTTTGTCCTAAATAAGACTGAAGGAGGACAGGAGTCCTAGTAAAACAATGACTAGTATTCTTAGGATTACTTAACATGTTTACTTTGATGAAAAGAAGTCTGAACAATTAGGCACCTATATCGTACAACGGGAGGTAACTCGTTACACATTACCCTTCCATATTGGAAATGTAACATACGTGTGCACATGTGTACACAATTATTGAGTCGCCTATACATATTTTATATTGCTGTTATTATTGGGACAGCTACCGATCGGACACTCGCTCTGAGAAATACAATGCATATAACATTTTGATGTAGTTTTAGACGTTCCAAAAGTACGATCGTAATTCTTTCATATCTAAATTCAAGTTTGTTTTTGTAGAAACTGTTTTGTGAACCAATCTAAACAGAGCCAAGTATTTGGTCCACACTGTATAAGTCAAATGACGAAATGAATCACAAAACGCAATAGATGTAAACTACGAATGCGTGTACTTTATAAGGCGAATGTACTGCATGTATTTATTACATGTATTTAAAAAGTTTGTGCCATTTTGATTCAGAAAGATGGTGTATAGATCAATAACATTTTGGCGGAAATTCACTATACCAGGCAAATGTAACTGATAAACATCGAGTTTATAAAAATATTCAAGATACTTGTAACCAATATACATTTTGCATCACTTAACATTTGTTTCAAACCTATATTAATGCTATGTTAAACTGTTCACGGAGCATTATTTATTTTTATTTATCTGCCAGGCAACAGTATATACACGTTAACTAATCAAATTGTCAGGATTGGTTCACATGACATGTCGTACTTGTGTCTACAAACACATTTTCGGATGTAGTAACATGCACAATATCTTGTTTCTATCTTACTTATGGGGAAAAAATGAGTTGCAAGTACGCAAACTTTTCTTTATGTACCAGCAAAGTCATGCCGATAATATTTCGTTATTCTCATACTTGCAGATACGGAACTAGCGTTTGAGTACGTATAAAATGGCGGACGGTGGTCCCCATGCAGACCCTCATTCTGAAGACAGCACACTACGAAACCTCTCGGACGCCAACATTCTCGAATGTCCGATCTGTCTTGAGCAGTTACGACAGCCGAAGTCTCTGCCGTGTCGTCATTCTCTTTGTGAGGAATGTTTGAGTAGCTACATCGTCAGTGAGGTGTTAGGGACGAGTGATACGGCGACTTCCTTTATCTGTCCGGTATGTAGGACCCTAACTCACCCCGTGGACAAATCAGAGGACAAAGAGAAATGGGCCCAGCAGTTTCCGACCGACAACGTTGCCATAGAGATGATACAACTGAGAAACAGGACGACAGAGCCACGTTACTGCGCGCCCTGTCAGAGAAAGGGAAGCATGACCTCTGCACAATTCTAGTGTAAAACTACTCAGTCATTGTTCTGTGAGTCTTGTAAAGTGGATTTCCATGATGTGGTCCATGTGAGCTGTGATATCGTAGATATGAGAGGTTCCGGGAATTTCCTACTGAAACAGGATACATCTGACAAACGATGCGACAAACACAAGAAGAAGATTTCTTATTATTGCGAGGATCACAAGTCCCTGGGTTGCAGTAAATGTATAACTGTTGGTCACAGGAAATGTGACAACGTGTCCACCACAGAGGATTACTGTGAGAAACTGAATAATAGCTCCCGGCTGGAAGAAAGAAGGAAATTTCTACAGCAAGGAGCAGACGCCATGGAATCCATGATAAAAGACTTTTATCTACAACAACAGAACATAGCAGACGACAAAGATGCGATATTGAAAAACATCGACGATCTGCAGGAACGTATGGATAAACGTATCAGAGAGATGAAGAAGGAAATCACAGATGACGTAATCACGGCGTACAAACAGGAAAGAGAAAATCTGAAGGTGTCCACACAGAAGTGTGAACGACTGAAGGTCGCTATAAAGAATACATTAGAATCGTCCTCTACAGCTCTACAGAGGAACGGCCATATGGACACGATCCAGCTTTACCAGAAAGGTCAGACGGAGCTCGAGGCTTGTAATGATCTAGTGAAAGAAATGCAGATGTCGATTTCATCTGTCAGTATTGAACATGAAATCGATTCGGACGTGACAAGTCTGAACTTTGGTAAAGTCGTTGTTCGAAAGCAGCGAAGAGATTTCCCAGGTGTCCCAACTCTCGTCAAACCCTCATCCAAATGTGAAGTAAAGGAAATAAGAAAGGTGAACATAGAATGTCCGTCTGATCAATTATATTGTTTTGCCCGTGGTGTTGTATACTTTCCTGATGGCAGAATTGTGGTGGGAGATGGAAACAATAATAAGATCAAGTTAATCAACGACGCGGGGGATGTTGTGGACGAGTTGAAAATGGATGGAAATCCGTGGGATCTGTGTATGGTGAATAACACCACTGTGGCGGCCGCTATGGAGAGCCCTGGAGGTATACGTGTAGTGACTGTCACACCCTCCAAACTTACATTGTCGTCTGTAATAAACAAAAACAAACAATGTTACGGTATAACGTACAGAGATGATGAGTTTATCGTGAGTACAGGATCCGAAGTCTGCAGTGTTAGGAACGACGGGACGACCAAGACGTTATATCGATATACTGGCAGAGTATTGGCGTTGTCACATGATCCCAAGGACGGACAGCTCTTTGTCTCACATCACACCGTTACTACTGGCAGTACGGCGATTGGTAGGTTGTCTACTGACAACAAGTACACGGACGTGTTGAAGGTTGGTGTAGTTCAGTATGCGTGTGGAGTGGACGTCGACGTGGAAGGTAACGTCTATGTATGTGGTTTTATCTCCAACAACGTGGTACAGATGTCCGGGGACGGGACTAACGTCCGGGAACTGTTAACGGCAGCGGACGGTATCACAACACCGAGAGCAATATCTGTTTGTGGTGATAAACTGGTGGTGACAAACCAGTCAGGTCAGAGCATCCAAGTGTTTCAACTTGTATGACTTGCAGAGCCAATCGTACACAAGATCGACATTTGACATAATAGTGTATTTTTGATATATATATATATCATTAACAGAACTGTTCTTGTTTATTTAACAAAGTACATATTATCAACATATAAATCGGTAATTTGCTGCTTTTTGTTATAGTTTTTTCTTTTCTTTTATTATTACCCATTATAATAATTGCATTACATGAAATAAATATTTTAAGTTATATCCTTATAAAACGGTAAAATATGTAGATAACTATGTGTAGATCACTGATATTTGTGCTGTTGCTTGTTTAATTATATAGCATGTTCAATCGCACGAAACATATTTTTATTTAAGTTACATGTACTGCATGTCAGTTGGCTGTTATGACAATAACATAGCTGTACAAATGTATAGGCAGTATTGATTTTACCACGCTTTTGTCCTGTTTGATAAAACTTTTGATGATTCTGTACCTAATGTTTTGGTTCATTCCAAAAAAACACACAAAAAAACACTGTACGTCGCAAAAGTGACACTGGATATCAGCTATGTATTGTTTTCGGCTACGAATCGGGAGAGAAACAGGTCGTGACTGATTTAAATGTTAACATTTCCCCAACAGTTTGGCAATTATTAAGGTTGAGGTTTTTCTCCTATAAATATTATGTGTTTTATATTTTTCGACCGGAACAAACAATGCATATGCATAGCCGTTATAAAAGGCATTACACATTACCTGGTCGTTTTATGAATATGTTATGAGTTCTGTTGTACGATTCAGGACTCGTATACTCGTACTGTATTATATTTATATGCTTTATCAATGTCGTCTAATAACAAACACCGGTCGCTAGTTTACATGTTATCGACGGTAGAGCGCAGTTGTGCATTGTATATGCAGGTCTTACCTGTAATCGAGTAATGTATGCAGTGAGGCATTGTATAGTGCGTTAATTCACTGACAGTTAGGTGCCACGGGCGGTTTCATAATACACAGACCCAATACATTCCTGGCTAGTAGACACGTATAACAATAGACAATGATACGTAATTAGTCCTACCTGGAGCAATTTGAAATACAAACATGACAAAAACTAGCGTAGGAACATTTTGTATTTGAATTTATTTGTTTTCATCTGTTCAGTATAACAGGGTGCTCACAAAATTAAGCCGGGCGGTGAGCCCGTCTGTAATGACCTACGGCGAACAATGGCTTTTACGCTTATGCCATTTTCTGTGTTTATTACCGTGAATAATTTAATAATGTTAATTGTTCAAGTCGTTTAAGCACAGGTGTGTTTTTTTTTGTTTTTTTTTTGTTGTTTTTTTTTAAATTTAAATGACATTTATTTTAATTATACAATTAAGTACCTAGAAATAACCTATTCATGGTATTTCACATCTTAAACAATGCATAGCATGTGTACTAAATAAACCTCGAGTTATCCGGATACATTATACCCGGTATTACGTCCTTGTTGTTAGTGGACCGGTCAAAATCATTGGAACATATTCCTACGACACTACAGGTTTTTCTTTTAAATATTTGTCCACATGATATATTTACTGTTGTTTTAAACTTATTTGAAATGTTAACTTTGTCATTAATATTTTCATTGCATTGAAACATGTTTATTATTAAAGAAAAAGGGTGGAACTACTTTGCACTGTGCCGATCGACAATACTAGTCTGGTTTTGACCTATATAGAGCTCGAGTCAGCTCACATGTTTTGTTTTTTTTTGGGTTTTTTTACAATTTATGAATGTTATGTGATCAATAGAATAATATATTCTTGTCCATTTCATATTGAATTTCAAAATCGATTTTCGTCTCATTCGATTGAGCGTTCGAGTGAGATAAAATTGTTAGTGTCGGAGGTAAAAACTAAGGTCGGTAGGGGTACCTGAAACAAATCTTTACCGTTTTGTGGCCTATATAGAATTCGTACAACGACCATATCAGTGATGAACAGTTCTACATATTGACTGTCCGCCTGTCGTTATCATATAAACATTTAGTAGTCATACTTTATCATTTATCTACTAAACACCCGATCACAGGCATTTATATCATAAAATAAACAAATCTAAACAGAACCTAAAAGATAATAGTTCTAATGTAGCGTGTACATCTGTAAGAGTAGGCGGATCAAAATACATACAATCGCGGATTCGAGCTCGGAACCTTATGCGCTATGTAGGCCTACATCCAAACTCGCGATTTGCGTTACACTGTTATATATATATCTGATGATGGTTTGCTGTTCAGATAAACCTTCGTCCGTGGTCCGTTGTCCGCCTGTCAATACATGTGTCACTTCGTCCGTCGTCTGGATGTCTGTCCTTAAATAATTCTTGTTAGCGCTATTTCTCAGACCGTATTTTATGGATCCTTCTAAAATATCACCTTAAGGTTCCCCGTTGCTCTTAGTAACGCCGTTCGCATTTCTGGCGGCCATCTAGAATTATGAGAGTTAAAGATTGTTAGCGCTATTGCTCGGAACGTACAAGAAGGCTCTTTCTCGAATTTCACTTGAAGGTTCCCCATGGTCTGTCCCGATTTTGGCATATCGAATATTGGGACAAATCGGAAAACCAAGATAGCTGGCAAATGGCCATCTAAAACTATGAAAGTAGAATTTTGTAAGCACTGTTTCTCAGAAAGTAATATTTTTTTTCAAATTTTATTTGAAGGTTCCCCATTGTCTCTAGTTATGCAAATTGATTGGAAATTAAGGACTTCCACTGGACAGCCATCTTGAATTTCGACAGTTCAATTTTGTTATCACTATTACTAAAGAAGTGCTTGACAGATCTTTATCAAATTTCATATGTTGATTCCCATACAGTACGATGATGGGCGCCAACATCCCTATGAGATCTGTTGTTATACATTTTTAGGAAAAGTATCTCTCATGAATTACATTGTTAACAGATGTAATATCTAACGTAACATATTTCTGCTATCGGGTTCTTTTAAATCAGATTACGTGGACACGTTTTGATATTTATTGCGAAAAGTATTGTTAGTTGATTTGATTTACGAGACATTTTATTAAATATATAGCGATACGTGCCTTAATGTACTGCTCATTTTCGTTTATATGTGTCGGTGCCGGTGTGTTCAGTCGCCGCTGTTTCTACTGTTATCAGCTGCCAGTTCGATTAGATAGACCAGTGTGATTAGCGGGACGTTAGATGAGCCTGATTCACAGGTGATTGTATGTACCACGGCCCTACGCTTACCTCACAGGGGAGACGTTTACCTCACAGGGCAGACGTTTACCTCACAGGGGAGACGTTTACCTCAAAGGGCAGACGTTTACCTCACAGGGGAGACGTTTACCTCACAGGAAAGACGTTTACCTCACAGGGTAGACGTTTACCTCACAGGGGAGACGTTTACCTCACAGGGGAGACGTTTACCTCACAGGCAGGGGAGACGTTTACCTCACAGGGGAGACGTTTACCTCACATGGGAGAGTGGTACGAGCATACCCTTCACTCCCGGCAGTGTCAAGCTAAGGTTCTAAGTCACTCGTGCTGCAGCCGAGTCCACCTACAAACTGCCACTGTCCAAATGATTTCGTTTCAGCGTAAACACATTACATGTAGATACATGAACTTCGGTCACGTTATCATTATCATATTGTAGTTTTAATTAAATGATACCTGAAGTATGCTACATATAAAATGGAGACAACTCCTACGAAAAAACAATGCTTTCATCAATTTTCTTCAAGCTTGGTTATTTTAATTTCTTAAACACGTCGAAAAAGAATGTTAATGTGTTCATTAACCAGAAAAATCACTTCTAAAGTTTAAAAAAAAAAATATGATCCATACGCCGTGAGACATTGATTAGTCCTTTTCATTAAGACCCGAATGATAGCATATTGGTCAGAACTGATTCGAGGTAAAGAAAGTAAAATAAACAATATTTTGTATAGATTATCAATTATTATCAACGAAGAAAAACAAATGGTTCCTTCGCATGGATAGAAAGTTTAAAGAGTACTCTGAACAATTGCGAACTATCTAATATCTGATTATACCAAAACCCAATTAATTCAAAGTTGCTTGTTTCAAACATAAAAGAGTTTTGTCATCTACAGCACACATACACACAAGCACACACACAAGCACACATATACATTACACACGTAGAGGCACGTCCGTGTATGATCTGCAGTCAATAGGATGTTACACAGTAAACAAAATTAAGACCAACCAAACCAGTTGTATAATCGTAGAATGTGTGTTGTAGTGATGATGTCTGCGGTAAGGGAGGTAAGCGATTCTTGATTATCGGACATCGTTTTTCAATGTTATTACATGATTTAGATCGCTGGTAAATCTCATAGGTAAAGGAACAATGTAACAGGGAAGAGTTAAAACACGCTTTGTCAATATTCGAATACTGCTCTTCATGTTGTCACGTGATCTCTTGTCTCGGAATTCTCAACTACGATCCAGCCCTCAACTCATACTGGTTTATTGTGTACTGTTTTAAACAATGTTGCATCTGTGTATTAATGTTATATTCGGGCGCTGATATCAGTTTTTTAAGAAACTTTTTGATCGGATCAGACGTTCTACATATTTCGTCTGACCTGACTGACTGCTTATCTATTTCTGGATTATTTCACAAAACTGTTTCTTCAAAATCGAAACTGGGTTTTAGCTTAGATACAAAAATTAAGTATGATCGTACAATTAGGTACGTACATCGCAAAATAGCAGCTGGCTGCATGTCATCATACATATACATACAGTCCTAACAGCATACATGTACAACATACAGTCCGAACATCATACATGTACATACAATCCGAATATCATCCATGTACAAACAGTCTAAACATCATACATGTACATACAGTCCGAACATCAAACATATACATACAATCCGAACATCATATACATGTATCTCGCATAACGACTATTAGCTGCCACTAGAAAAATAACGACGTGATTTACGATATGAATACGATATCCCACTCCATATTTGATATTGTTTAATTCCGTAATACACGCTAAAGTTTGAAAAACTTTACTCCAGTTGAAAGATTACATAATTTTTACACATATTTTATATGAATTTATTGATTGGAGAGGTTGAAATTTTCCGTCTGATTTTACTTTGATTTTGTATCACAATAGTGTACCAAAGTAAGTTATCTCACTATTGATTGCATTATAATGATTTCCGTTAGATCTCAGAACCTATACTAACTGATGAACTGTAAAACATAAAGTAAAAAAACGGTTTCTGATTTCCTAGTGTAAAGTTAGACGGATATTTATTTCATAAAATTCAATGCGATGTTGTGTCAGTGATAAAAGCTCTAAAAATGTCATTGTACCGGGGTGTTTACATGTATGTCTTCAGTAACGTAAATTGTCAATAATAGTCACCTGTAAGGATGCTGTGTTAATTTGTTCTCTAGTAAATATCTTAAATGAAACAAGGTATGTGTAGTAAACAATCGGTAAATTATCCGGATATATCGTACCCGACATTACAATGTACGGACGTGCTATTAGTGTATTGAGTCGCATTCCAAAGTGCGCCGAGCTACCAACGGGGACGTGTCCCACATCTACACCTCCTCATTTCAAAGACTACAACCATATTCATACATTGATGGAGCGGTAAGTACAAATAAGTATCTCCCGTACTGAGGTTTTATAACAGTACCACCTTTTACATCAAATGAACATGTAAATAGCGTGTTTTTACTAAGAACACGTTCATTTTAATCGTTGAATATGTTGAAGCGGCTGTAGTAATGTTAGACGTACGGAAACCGAAAGAGGAAGTACAGGACGTCACCGATTTATTATCTATGCACAATAGAGTAGGAATCGCATTGGTTGTACAGTCAAAACACCGTCGGATACCATAATTTGAAGAATTTACGTATCCAACGGCGTCATTTTCTAATTACATACAGAGCGGAAGTAATAGTAAAATTGGGCAAACCCTCGTTCTATAAATAAATTGTTTTGGTATGGTTGACCGAGAAACGTGTTCATATACATGTGTATGCGTGGATACATGCGTGAGTATGAAGGGTCGTCAGGGCTTGCTTTTCCAATTCAAAATGCATTGTCAAAGGATTAAAAGTATTTAAATGATATGACCTGATCGGAACTCAATTGTTCGAACACACTCATGTTTATACGGCGTTTACACAGGTAAAAAGCAAATGTAATGAATATTATATCTCTGCCAGTATTAATAGCTTTCACTTTGAAATTGACTCGTTTTCACATGTTCGTATTAAACGATTTGTCGGGCGGTAAATTCATATAATTTAAGAGGCAAATTAGACATACAAAAAGTTTGAAACATACATTTTAAGACATTTGAGGAACATAAAAACCAACACAACTTTGTCCTAAATAAGACTGAGGACAGGAGTCCTGGTAAAACTATGTGTAGTAATCTTAGGGTTACTTAACATGTTTACTTTGTTGAAAAGAAAAAAAAATCCATGAATTTCCGTGGCTTTCTTAGCTCGTCTTTTTATAATAACACACCTACATATATACATTGAATATAAATTTTCTAGCAAATTTGTCGCTAATCTAAATAAGCTATCCACTCCCTCTATTGGGGAATATGTAAGTTTGCACAGATTCGTTTGAACGCATTACGATTGAAAGAAGATTACTTCGGAAATATGTCCAAGTACTGATGACAAATATTAGGAGTAACAAGAAACACAGTTTTCATGTATACGTGTCTAAGTTGCACCTATATCGTACAACGGGAGGTAACTCATTACACATTATCCTTTCCTATTCGAAATGTAACATTCGTGTACATGTGTACACACTTATTACGTCGCCTATACAAATATCGAGTAAAAATATCGGATACAAATTTGATATTGTTGTTATTATTGAGCTACCGATCAGACACTCGCTCTGGGAAATACAATGCATACAATATTTTGATGTAGTTTGAGGCGTACCAAAAGTACGATCATAATTCTTTCATATCTAAAGGCAAGTTTGTTTGTTGCAGACACTGTTTTGTGAACCAATCTAAACAGAGCCAAGCATTTAGTCTACACTGTATAGGTCATATGCCGCAATGAATCACAAAACGCAATAGATGTAAACTACGAATGCGTGTACTATATGAGGCGAATGTACTGCATGTATTTATTATACGTATTTGAAGAGTTTGTGCAATTTTGATTTAGAAAGATGGTGTATAGATCAGTAACATTTCGGTTGAAATTCACTATACCAGGCCAATGTAACTGATAAACTCGATGTTTATCATAATATTCAAGATGCTTGTAACCAATAAGCATTTTGCATCACTTAAAATTTGTTTCAAACCTATATTAATGCTATGTTAAACTGTTCACGGAGCATTACGTCTTTCGGCATCAGGAAAATGGATTGCATGCCTAAGTTTTATTTCTCTACCAGGAAACAGTATATAAACGTTCACTAATCAAATTGTCTGGATTGGTTCACATGACATGTCGTAATTGTGTCTACAAAAAATTTCCTATGTAGTAACATGTACAATACCTTATTTCTATCTTACTTATGAAAAAAAATGAGTTGCAAGTACGCAAACTTTTCTTTATATACCAGCAAAGTCATGCCGATAATATTTCGTTATTCTCATACTTGCAGATACGGAACTAGCGTTTGAGTACGTATACCATGGCAGAAGGTGGTCCCCATGCAGACCCTCACTCTGAAGACGGCACACTACGAAACATCTCGGACTCCCAACTTCTCGAATGTCCAATCTGTCTTGAGCAGTTACGACAGCCGAAGTCTCTGCCGTGTCGTCATTCTCTTTGTGAGGAATGTTTGAGTAGCTACATCGTCAGTGAGGTGTTAGGGACGAGTGATACGGCGACTTCCTTTATCTGTCCGGTATGTAGAACGTTAACTCACCCCGTGGACAAAACAGAGGACAAAGAGAAATGGGCCCGGCAGTTTCCGACCGACACCGTTGCCATAGAGATGATACAACTGAGAAACAGGGCGACAGAGCCACGTTACTGCGCGCCCTGTCAGAGAAAGGGAAAGATGACCTCTGCACAATTCTGGTGTAAAATGAATCAGTCATTGTTCTGTGAGTCTTGTAAAGTGAATCACCATGATGTGGTCCATGTGAGCTGTGATATCGTAGATATAAGAGGTTCCGGGAATTTCCTGTTGAGACGGGAAACATCTGATAAAAGATGCGACAAACACAAGGATGAGATTGCTTATTATTGTGAGGATCACAAGTCATTGGGTTGCAGTAAATGTATCATTATTGGTCACAGGGAATGTGACAACGTTTCAACAACAGAGGGTTACTGTGAGAAACTTAATAGTAGCTCCCAACTAGAGGAAAGAAAGACATTTCTACAGAAAGGAGCAGACGACATGGAATCCATGATAAAGGACTTTTATCTACGACAACAGAATATTGCAGACGACAAAGATGCGGTACTGAAAAGCATCGACGACCTGCAGGAACGTATGGAGAAGCGTATCAGAGAGATGAAGAAGGAAATCACAGATGACGTAATCACGGCGTACAAACAGGAAAGAGAAAATCTGAAGGTGTCCACACAGAAGTGTGAACGACTGAAGGTCGCTATACAGAATACATTAGAATCGTCCGCTACAGCTCTACAGAGGAACGACCATATGGACACGATCCGGCTTTACCAGAAAGGTCAGACGGAGCTCGAGGCTTGTAAAGATCTAGTGAAAGAAATGCAGATGTCGATTTCAACTGTCAGTATTAAACATGAAATCGATTTGGACGTGGCAGGTCTGAACTTTGGTAAAGTCGTTGTCAGGAAGCAACGAAGAGATTTACCAGGTGTCCCAACTGTCGTCAAACCCTTATTCAAATGTGAAGTAAAGGAAATAAGAAAGGTGAACATAAAATGTCCGTCTGATCAATCTGCTTGTAATTCTCGTGGTGTTGTTTACTTTCCTGACGGCGGAATTGTAGTGGGAGATAACAACAATCAGAAGATCAAGTTAATAAACGATGAGGGGGATGTTGTGGACGAGTTAAACTTGGATGGACGTCCTTGGGATCTGTGTATGGTGGATAACACCACTGTGGCGGCCGCTATAGAGAGCCCTGGAGGTATACATGTAGTGACTGTCACACCCTCCAAACTTACACTGTCGTCTGTTATAAACAAAAATAAACAGTATTACGGGATAACGTACAGAGATGGTGAGTTTATCGTGAGTACGGGATCCGAAGTCTGTAGCGTAAAGAAAGACGGGACGACCAAGGCGTTATATCGATATACTGGCGAAGTACTCATGTTGTCACATGATTCCAAGGACGGACAGCTCTTTGTCTCACATTTCAACTCCAGGACTGATAGTACGGTGATTGGTAAGTTGTCTACTGACAACAAGTACACGGACGTGTTGAAGGTTGGTGTAGTTAAGAGTACGTATGGAGTGGACGTCGACATGGAAGGTAACGTCTATGTCTGTGGTTTTTTCTCCAACAACGTGGTACAGATGTCCGGGGATGGGACTAACGTCCGGGAACTGTTAACGGCAGAGGACGGTATCATACGCCCACTAGCAATATCTGTTTGTGGTGATAAACTGGTGGTGACAAATTGCGCATCAGGACTGAGGAATTCCATCAAAGTCTTTCAACTCTTTTGACTTATCATTAACAACTTATTTTTTTATTGACTTAACGAACACATAAAACCTTTCTGTCATAAATAATAATGATGGGTAAAATCAGCAGTGCGTTCATGAGTAAAGATAATATCTTTAAAATCTTACGATCACATTATCAACAGCAGTAATGAAAAACAAACTTTGTTCTGAATGAAGCGTCAATTACGCATTTAATGTTTGTTTGCATTGTCCTCACTACCGACCTTAGCCTTGTTTTTTTTTAATCTGATACACATATTTACGGTACATTAATGTTGTAAAGCCGCTATAACTGATCGTGTTGAAATACAAAATGTCGATTTCTTCGTGAATTAAGGGTTGTAGATAATTGCTGTTTTAAAGTGTATATCAACTCAAGACAGTTTCTTTAAATATTTTAGCAATGCTTTCGTTATGAGAAATGAAATCAAGGAAAATAATTTTGAAGATGTTTCGTGAAACCAAAACATGGGTCTGATTCAACGAACGTGAGAGAGCTGAAGTTTAGAATAATCTGAAAGAGTTTGCATAAGCAATGCTACTACCTAGGAAGAAAACATGTGACGGTAAACTGTTTTTTATGGGGTATTTGGAACTGAAACTTCGTATCTTGGGGAACCAACCTGTACGTTTTAATTTGGTTCCGTTGTTTATCGAATTACTTCATCTGTACACCAATCGAAGTTTCTGGTTGTGTTTTTATTAGTCCAAATAAAGAGGTTTCTATGATACGGTATTATAGCGTATCGATTTTTCTTCGATTCCTGATCGATCCGCAATCAAAATCATTGTGATCATCCAATGATAACAAATACTACCGATGAACATGTGTGATAACATAGACCTTGTCCTTCCACTGTTATTGTGCCCATGTAACGGTTCTGAACGGGCAGTAAGGGATTACTTTTTTTGTGTCTGTCATTTCTTCCGTAAATTCGTAAGACATTTGTGTATTACTTGTGTTGTATGTGTTCTAGAGAAGCTAATGGGTTTGCATGCCGTGCCGTTTATATGTTATTGTTGACACATGCGTTAGGGTATCGCTCATACTACGAAGTTTGCTTAACGTGGAATTGCAGAAACGAAAGTAGTGACAACTATGACCTTATATGGCACGTCATTCATAACTTTTCATTCATATGCAAATATTTGCAGTGACACCTATCGGTAGATGATACAGTTGTGTGACCGCACAACGCACCAAAAATAGCGTGTACACACCGTGTATACATCGTGCACACACGCGCCGCACATCAACACATGGTGCGCACATTTGTGCGATAAAACGATCATTCGGGGCGTTGTGCGCTTCTCTCCGCACAAATGTGCGATTTGGTACAATTGGTTGATCATTATTACGGAATGAAAAAATATCCGGAACCGAACCTTGTGTGGAATAAGGAACACTGTATATATCAATTTCTCATCATATTAATTAGGATTATTTTAATTTTACAATGCGTGTTACACAGCATTACAGTGACAGTTAGCTATAAATATAAGCTGTCAAGATAAGGTTTGGCTCCCAGGTAACAGAACAGGTAAATAACACTTTGATGATTGACCGGAGTTTTACCTGGCCTGTCACTGATAAAGAAAGCTAATATGTGATACCGTATGACCGTTATGAAAACAAAACTGGACGTTAAGTATTTATTGTTTTAGATATATAACTCCCCTTCACCTGGATGTTCACACCTTGACGAGTAAAGTTAGTGCCCCGGTAGGGGAAAATCACGGTTCAGGTACATGCACAAAGTAGCTATGTTTACCTGTATAGGAGAACGTGTCCATATACGTTGTATGCTATTTTCTATGTGTCGATTGTGGTCGTTTAAAAACACTGAAAACGCTATTTACAACGTTAGCATTACCCTTATCGTTATGTGTCATATGCATATCTCCATCGTAAATGGATTTTTGTATTGTCTTTTTGTCAAGATCGACGATTTGAAAAAGACGATCATCAATATTTGAAATGATTCTGTACTTTTCTTCTTCTTATAATTAAACCTATAAACATGCATCTGTATGCATACACTGTGAGTATCGTAAGGTGAAAGTAATTAAGGCCCTGATTATATAAATTCTTTCTACTTCACGTTTCGTATAGAGATTGTGTGTTTACCAGGTGTTTTTTAATTCAAACGCAGATTCACTCAACACTGAAGGTCATGTGATAAAGTGCATTTCATATTACAAACATCAGTGCGTAGCATGCGAGTCGGACATTTTGTTCATGATCACAAATAACAACCGAAGTAAGATTAAATTTAACAAACAATATTGTAATGTAAAGTAATTGAGTTTTGAGCAGTGAAATGTATTTAGAAAGTATCTATAAATGGTATACACGTATCGTCAAATATTCGTATTGTAATGAAATGTAGAATACAGAATACAGTTATTTGTATGCTAAGTGTTATTGATACAGCAGTAGATATTTAAGTCGGTAGCTATAAGCCGTTATCTGAGACGGTGATTTAAGAACAACTATAAAGTTAAAGGACGATTATTCCGCATGCAATGATAATTTGGAATATACTGATCGCTTGACAGTCGGAACTTCTCTTGAAATTCAGAAATGGAGAGTTGAGCATTATGCGTTTGCGTCAAGTAAGTTAAAGGTGAAGTGGACAAAACATTTAAAGTATTTCCCTGAAAATACAGTTAGTGTAAAACGAACAGGTTTGGTCACAAACTAGTAACTTGGTATATATAAACCAGGTTTTTTTTCGCACAAATAGCAATCTTGGTTCGGAATGTAGAATACAATCAATCGAACAACACACATGATTTCAAATAATTCTGAATTATTTTCACAGGTCTTTCATACGAATGATTACCATGTCAAATTATTAATAAAATGCTCATATCTACCATTATACAATACGGACCCAGTACATCCAAGTCTATAATATTGATACCTTTAAAATCTATTCCTTATTTTGAGGTTTAACGGATATGAGCAAGAGCAAGAAACAAATTCAGACCTCATAACTTATCACTGTAAGAAAAGAAAAAACATGTAATGGTAATATGAAAAGGCAAAGCCTTAAAAGAGCGTAGCTTTTGTTGATCTCTGATATTTACTGATTCAGAATACTGCTTTCAGAATGAGATCAATAGAACCTCTCACCCCTTGGGGGCGAGATAAGGGAATCACAACCCTAGGGGGGAGATTCTTATGTTTGGCAAATTACGAATCTTTCCCCGAGGGTTAAGATCCCCTGCTATCTTACCCACAAGGGGGTGAATGATTCTTTTTCTCTTACCCTGTTTTCCCAATGTGTATCATATACACAATATAATGATAACGTTACATGCTAAATTCAGGGTTGACATAACTTTGATGGATTGTTGACGTGACGTCATTGTATTTTTGAAGTGACTTCATACCATTGTTATGAATAGGGGAATCCCCCCGTCTTAACCCTAGGGTGAGACTAATAGAATCCATCCCTGATGTGAGGTATGGATAAGGTTATTCAAACCCAAGTGATAAAATATTGAGCAGGAGACCCGAGGTTTTGCCGAGGGTCTTTTGCTCAATATTTCATCCCGACGATTTGAATACCCTTATCCTTACCTCACATCAGGGATGGATTCTATTTCTTGCTTATTATCTAAAACCCATAAAAACATATGCTTTTCTTGTAAAGTTGTAAACTGTCCGAACATTTCTCATTTGCATATGGAGCCCGGCTGGCAATTGCTTGTGAAGTCAATGACCCTGACTGACCCAAAACGTCATAATATGACGTCACGAACAATAGCGTGACCCCGAAAGGTCACTATAATTCCCCTGACAGTCTGCGCGTGTAAGCGATCTAGACCGTTGGGTCAGATAGAATCTTCCAGCACCGCCGGAAATGCGGATATATCGGTCTAGTATGCAAGAATAATAAAATCTATCATCTGTAACTGAGCGAGATCGGGTTATCTCAGTCTAGGGTTAAGATTCTGTAACAAAATCCTAACCGTGGCGTAAGCCGAGGTTGGGATGTTACAAAATCTTAGCCCGAGACTGAGATATCCCGATCTTGCTCAGTTACAGGTATTTTTTTTTTTTTTCTCGCAACTTTTAGTTCCGAAATTTTCTTTTCTATTTTTTTAAAAAAAACTACATGTATCCCGCCTTGGGCCTCAAGTGATAATGACCTCTTCACTACTAAAGCTACATTTGAATGCTTCCGCGTAAAAGCGTAGTCCGTCCTTACATAGATTACAACGTATTTCACAGTGTTGATTATATTTTATCTACAACATCAAATATCTTACAACGTCGAAACTATACATATAACTACAAAACAGAACATGTATCAGGCAAATTATCTATTTCAAGCAGTTAACGCGTGGATAAATACCTCGCAGTGTATGACGTGGGATATCACTGTCTGAGGTGCGAGAAAAGGAAATTTCACACCGGTAAAAGTGCGGATACACCTGTCCAGGGTAAGAGAAAAGCTAAACTTTATTTAAAGTTGGCTAGTCGACGAATAAGAATAAAACAAAAGCTCTAATGAGAGTAAGACCGACATAATAATAGGAGAACATTTTTGAACATTATTTAATTTTCCCTGTCGGAAGATCGGATGGCCGAACGAGCCCCGCCACGGGATAAGTCGGACAGGCATTCGGGTAAGTCCGGCCCACGTCGGAATCAGCTTAATTATGACGTCATAAAGTAGGCAACGTCAGATTTGACCGCCAATTTTACGACTTTTTATGTGATACATGGGCCGAACTTGCCACAGTATTATTAGCCGAACCTGTCCGGGCCCAAATTGATACAGCAATATGGTAGTGAGTGCTGGGCTTGGCTTTTATCTATATCATTTGAAGCTGTCAGTGTGTTGCACGTTTGACCTTAAAAAGGAACAATTCCGTCTACAGAAAATTTGCATAAGTAGAAGCGATATCATGATTTTCTTTCTATCCTCTGTAAAGCAATTTTCTCCAGTTTAGTAATTTTACATTAGAGTTTTCCTCATCATTTTTTTTTGTGTGAATGCCCAGCCAACTTAACTGCTAAAATCCTTAAAGTTGAAAATATTAGCTCAAAACAAAAATATCAGGGGTGGCCGAACTTGCCCTGGTCTCCCGTTTGTAGTTTTTTTTTTGTATTATTGATGATTGGTAAAAATGTATTCACAATATAAATTTGTTGCATCAATGATGCCATTTTCTTCCAGTTAAAGCTTAAGTAGATACTTGGTCGGGTGGCGCAGTGGATAGCGCGCCCGTCTTCACCAAGATGGCGGGATTCAATACCGGTTACCTGCCCGACCATGCAGGTTTTCTCAGGATCCGCTGTCATCCTCCCACATAAAGAATTAAATCCTCTGCGTGCTTCCGTCAGGTCACAAAAAGAATGATTGAGATAAGTTGGGGAAAAAACTGTTTGGTAATTGCTATAGAAAAAAGTGCATAAGACATATTTGACGATAAGTCTAATTACATACTGTGGTCAAACGGCACTGTATAGGTTCCGGAAATAGCGATCGCTTAAACGAGGCAGATTATTGAAGATCACAGCATGCTTGTGATCATAGACATGTTTATGGTATACTATCATCATTACGAAGGTGGGTACAAATCAATTAGTGTATTATAGATCAACCTTGTTATAAACTTGAAATATCCCAGAAATGAAACTTAAAAGCACATTAAAATATAACGAATCAGTGAGTTTATCACGGCCCGAAGTCGACAATCTCACAGATTATGTCAATAATTAACTCACAGATCTCCTTTGACACATGGTTTATGTATTTTTTCATTATTCAATGATTTATAAATTCAAAACACACATTAACGAAAATATTTGTGTTTTTAAACATAATATAAACAATGATTGTAAATAACACCTATGGACATGCTACTGTATGGATAATAGCGACCAGACTGTAGGTTAATAGCGATTACGGCTTTATATTACTGTATGGTTTATTGGATTATTACATTTTGTCTGTTGGTGGGAAAAACACTTTCTCTCACACAGATGGATAATTTCGAGTTCAGTTACTGCCAAAAGAGCTTTACAGAGTTTAGTGAAATAATTGAACATTGTAATGCAAGACCACGGAACTTAGGAAGAACGGTTAAATAAACGAAGAATTTTCTTAAACGTTGTAGTATCCCCGCGGTTCAGAGTAATAGCGGGGATTATTTGTCTCGTGCGGCACTCGTTTGCTAGTTGGAGCACGAGCGGCGAGTGCTGTCACGCGTCCACGGGACAGGTGAGCACGGGGCCTATAGTATAGGGTCATTTCTAGTCGCCTATTCGGGACGCGCGGTTCACATCAAACTTTGACTACGAGCATGAATATGGAGGGGGAAGCTATCAACCCCGATATTAATGAGGCTATAGCAGAGAAGGTGAAAGATGCGGTTGCCAATACGCAGAACCAAGTCCTTTCCCATTTGGACCGGCTTATATCTAGCAAGCTAGACGCTTTTGAATTAAAAAATTCCAGTAATTCTGAGGCACAGATATCGAAACTACAGCAAAATATCGCGAGTGTGGATTCACATAAATTCAGCAAGAAGAGTTGTGAGGACCAGTATAAGTTCAACACGAAGCTTAAAGCTAAATTCATGGAAGTTGGGCATGCTACGAAGTCGGGTCCAGGGGCAGTGGAGGCCATAGTTTCGGAGGGCGTGGACATGATAGACTATAGGCAAAAGTTGGTCAAGCTGGCCGACACGTCGGAGGCAGGATGGAGGGCTGTCGACGAGTATATCGTTAATCCCATTGCGGAGGATTCTGAGGACGAAAAGAGGATGGACCGGGCCACTAATAGGGCCAACAGGAAAATGAAGGCGGTATCAAAGTCTAAATCAGCGAGGGGAGGTCGCAGATTTAATACCCCTTATCAACGATTCGGCGGACCTACGGCTACTATTACTTCTAATACGACGGACAGCAGCAGGTCCGGGCCGGCATGGAGGGCACAGCGACCGGGTCTATGCTATAGTTGTGGTAAGCCTGGCCACTGGAGGTTGGAGTGTCCCGGGGTGTCCGGAGGGATGGCAGCCACGAACGGCAGTAAGATAAGTAAATTTTGCTATTTTAAGCATGTTCTCCCTGATGGTACGCCTTTGTGTAATTCAGATGAGGCACGAAAGGGCGACGTAAAGCATTCTGATGTTTTAAATGTTAATTTGTCTAGCATGAAAGGTAAGGTCAGCGAGTCGCCGATGGGTAGGTTGAGGCAGAGAGTGGATTTCTGGCGAGAGAAAGGTACATGCGATGCCGTATTATCCATTGTGTCGGACGGGTATAAGATCCCGTTTCGGGTAATCCCGACTGGCGTTTATTTGCACAATAACAAGTCTGCACGAAACGATCCAGTTTTTGTTGGGTCTGAGATAGGAAAGTTGCTAGGGCTGGGTTTAGTTTCCGAAGTAGTGACACAGCCGTGCATCGTAAACCCACTTACTGTTGCTTACAACAGGGCAGGTAAGCCACGCCTTGTTTTGGATTGTCGGCATATCAATCCTCATTTGCATAAATTCAAGTTTAAGTACGAGGATGCCAGGACGGCACGTGATTTGTTCACGGAAGGTGAGTTTTTGTTTACATTCGACCTCAAGTCTGCTTACCATCATGTGGAGATTTTTCCTAGTCATCGGACCTTTTTGGGTTTTAGTTGGGAAGATCAAGGTATAACAAGATATTACATTTTCAACGTGTTGCCTTTCGGCATAGCCACAGCAGGGTACGTATTTACAAAAGTATTACGTGAGGTAGTCAAACACGTGCGCTCAGAAGGGCACAAGCTGATCATGTATTTGGACGACGGTATCGGTGGTCATGAGAATCAAGGCGGGGCCAATGAGGCCAGCAGGTATGTACAGCGAGTGTTGTTTGGATACGGTTTTTTGATAGCCGATGACAAGTGTCAATGGCAAGCTTCGCAGTGCGTTACGTGGCTGGGGTACACGTGGTCGATGGCAGAAGGCGTGGTTAGGGTGACCGAGGTACGGTTGGAAGGACTACTCGGGCTATTACGTCATACAATGAGCCTTGTCAATCAGCGAGGTCAGATGTGGTTCACTGCACGATACGTGGCTAGTATCATAGGTAAGATTATATCGATGCAAAGTGTAGTTGGCAGTCTGGCCAGACTACGTACACGTGAGTTGTACGCATGTGTGATGTTGAGAGCAGGTGGGAATGCTCGGGTGTTACTCACACATAGTGCTTTGGCTGAAATAAAGCACTGGTTGTTGAATATGCATGATTTAAATGCCAAGGGTTCCAGGTTGAAGGACACCCGGGTGTGTACAAACTTAGTTTGCACAGACGCGTCTGGCGTTGGGTATGGCGGGTTTGTGACCCAATGCGCATGTTTACATAACGAGGCGTGTGAGTTTGTGAATGACATGCAGGTCATCGAGTCTCTGTGTGACGCATCAGGTACACAGGTACCTGTGGCGGTTCCATTGGAGGAATCGGTAGGATCAGGCGCTGATGGCTTTACCTCCATGGGGGGTAGTACGGTGAGTATTCCGAGTGTAGCGGAATCGGGGGGTATGTCGCATGTAATAGGTGCATAGAGTGATGTCGAAAGGTCATTCAGTTCTACATGGAGAGAACTAGAGGCAGCAAAACGGGTGTTATACAGTGTGGCCGACGAGATGAGAGGTAAGAACATCAAACTGGTGATGGATAATAAAATTGCATGCTCTATAGTGAATATAGGGAGCAGAAAGGCCGCGCTGCAGGGCATTGCATGCGAGTTGTATTGTTTCTGTTCCGACAATGGGGTAAGTTTGAGTACGCAGTGGATACCTAGGTCAGCTAACGGTACCGCTGATCACCTGAGCAGGTGTATGGATTGTGACGATTGGTGCATTCAATACTGGGTTGTTGTATTGTGTGAGAAAGCATGGGGTGTGCATGAGGTTGAGTTCGCCTCGGGATACAACGCTAAATGTAAGCGTTTTAATTCTAGATGGTGGTGTGAAGGCACGGAGGCTATAGATGCTTTTACAGTTTCGTGGGAGGGGGTAAATAATTGGTTAGTGCCGCCTCCAAGCTTAGTGTGCGAGACCATTTAAAAAATGAAGGTGGAAAGATCACACGACACTTTGATTGTTCCAGAATGGAAATCGGCATCTTTTTGGCCGATTATATGTATAACTGGGAATACGTTTGTTAGCTTTGTCAGTGATTATCGTGTACTGGGTAGCCAACACGTTACTTCCATGGGTAGAGGAAATAACGGCTGTTTTGGGAAGCCGCTGTTGGCTTTTAACATGCTGGCACTGTGTGTCGATTTCAGAGTATAATTAATACGGAGAGTTTTCCTTTTCTGTCTTTTCAACAGGCGTAGGATTGGAGAGGACTCTGAAGGACGCTATTAATGCGTCAGGGGTCACGGAGGGGTCATATCTGTACTGCTGTTCAGAGGGCATGGCAGTTAGGTTGCTGTCCAGCAAGAGCGAAAATACTAACAAAAAATACAGTGGAAGTTTCCGGAGATGGCAGTCGTTTATTACTTCGCATGGTTTTCCTGATTTCCCTGCGAGCCCTATTCACGTGGCGCTATATTTGAACCATCTGTTGGACATTGCAGTCCAATGTATAGGTTTATAGGTCGCATGTAGTAAATGCGGGGAGTTTGTGGGGTTTTATTATTTTTAGGCGTTTTTCATGCTTGTATTTGTGGTTTATAAATATTTTGTTTGGAAATAACGTACAGAGTATGACATTGGTTTCCGGGTGTCACCCTTGAGAGATATCCCGCAGGGAAATAATAGTTGTCCCGCCTCTGGACGCAGATTTCCGGGGGTTATCTCCGGTTTTTTCTGAGCGAGCGGGTTGATCTCGATGAAGGGGAATCTCTGAGACATGTACGGTTTTCAAAAGGGGGTCTGTATTTTTGGCAGAGTACTGAAAAGTTTGTGATGTTTATGTTATGAATGTCCATTGCTTGGTATATATGTATATGCTGTCGTATTGTTTAATGTCTGATTAAACGCCTACCGCCTACGTCCTCACGGCGAGCTAGCGGCAAATTGAATATTTGAGTTGTGTCGGTTTTTCAAGTAGCGGAGTGAAGCGAGACGAGATATGTCTCATATATATATGTAAATGTATTGTATAAAGACTTGATCCACTTTTATGTTCCCCGTTTAGAAAAATACCAAAAAAGTTATCAACCCAACAGTGACCTGAGAGTGTGTTGCAGCTATATTTGGACCTAAACTAAGGTGGTCATAGTAATTTGATATGTTTCGGGGGTTCAGATTTACTGTCGGTAAATATGCCGTCCGTATTTGACTGTTCTATTTCAGTTGAAAATGGTGGTATGCTTAGCTTTAGACTTTTCCCATGTAAATATCTAAGGTTGGTGAGGTAATTTGTGGAAAAACTTCAAATCTAGCTGTTTCAATTTAGTGATTGTTTTTCTCACAAAATTGTTAAACATTAATTTCAGAAAATAAAACAGGCATTTTTGTTCAGGCACAGAATATGTTATTCCTATTTTAATACTATTTTTATTTTATTTTTGTAGATAATAAACAACAAGTTCTGTTTTGATCATTTCCAATCATTTTATTAGCCAAGGAAAATGTTAATACTCATTTTAGCCTCACTTTCTACATCCAGTAAACACTTTGACATGATGAAAAAAAACTATACAACTTGTACAGCCACAGAAAGACAGTCCTTACGCCAGTACAGATGGACTGAATAGAATAGTCACTGAAATGCACTACATGTATTAACATAAGAAGTAGATTTCAAACACAGTATGTCATCATTCTTTTGTTTGGATAGATCACCATTATGAGATTAATTACATCTAGAAGTAGGCAGGGAAGGTACTTGCAAGTATTTTTGTGGAGGTAGCAGACATGTTGCCAACTTGGTGACAATCCTTTAGCATCTAACCCCACTGGAAGACATTCAGGAATGACTGTCCCTCTCATTACTAGTCTCACATTAGTCTCCTCCCCGTCAAGTGCATGCGTCACCTTTAGCACCCCTGAAATGAAATTAAATTACATGTAGTGTATATATATCAACAGAAAGTATATGCATTAAATAGCAGTTGATATATACCTGGTACATTGGTACATACAAGTGATGGTGATCATCTATGCCACACAATATACAAAAATTGTCCAGTTTTTTTGCGAAGTAAAAAAGTTTTATAAAAATAATGCATTCTTTACACTTTCATTGGACGTAAAAAAACAACATTTAACAATCAAAAACGATGGAGTTCAGGGGGAAGATGACCCAATCTCAATCTATGCAACTCAGTTTCAGGAGATTAAAGTCAGAAATGTTTTTAAAGCAGAGACATATATTTCGAGCACCTAAATAGTGTATTTATGAGGAATATATCTCCCTGCTTTAAAGAAAGATACAGTATTGATCATTGGCAAAGCTTGCTAGGTCTTCTGTTTGCAAATTTAGTGGATTAAATTCACCTGCTTATAAGTCTTATCAGGCACAGTGCATCAAATAAATAGGGCATCTATTTGGCAAGACCCATACATAATTTCAGAATTTCACAAATAAAATATTTCAAATTGAATTAATTCCAATATTTGAATATTTTTTATCCATCGAAAAAAAATTATATTATAATATTTATAACTCAATTGTATTACATGTGAATTTAAATTTTATATGATAATCATCATACTGTTGTATTTTTTTCCTGATATGAGTGGTTAAGCCAGCAACTTAAGCAATATTATGAATGCATTAAGTTCATAGGTTTAAATTCCATACTGTTTTATTATTATTATTATTGAATGAGAAAAAATATGATTGTTTTTGCTAATGGTTCTGCCCATTACACAATTTCTATTCATTGTTTGATTTGTAAAGCATTTGGTCATTAATCTCATTATAATTTATATAATAAAAATAATACCAATTGTTCTTAATGTTTACATACCTTGAAATCTTTGCTGTACATGCTCATATTTTACAGCATGTTTTTCTTTCTTCCGAATGTTCCCATAGAACTGCATCATACCAAAGGCCCCTGTGATCATGCTTAAGAAAATGTGTCATAACATTCTTAAGATAATGCACGTTGATATTATTGAAGTGCAGAAAACACAATCCTATTAAAATCATCTGTTACATGGCTCTGCCTGAACAGAGCCATGTGATAGATGATTTTAATCAGATTGCAGAAAACACGAATTGCCGATTGAATTAGATCTTTTGTGTTTTGAAACTGGAAGTGTACACGTGAAAGTTAGTCTGCAACACTTGTGACCTAGGGCTAGGCTTCTCCCACACGCCTGAACCTGGCCAACATTTAGCACGATGACAAGCCAAAGAAACGGGAAAGAAGTGACTGAACTAATCGTCTATTACTTCAGATAGCACATTATAACATCCATATATTTTAAATCACTACATACTACATGTCACAAATTTTAACGCAGACACCGTGTCTGTCATCTTCCTTAGGAAATGTAAACAATCTACCGGATGCGTGCGCACCAGAAATCGGAGAAATCCCTGGCGCCTCGATATTTAAGTCGATTTGATTAATTACTGATATCTAAAGTGTCGAATATTGTTTGAATAATTAACGAGATAGTCTTCTAGTTGCAGAAGGTATATAAGTTGTATATGTTTCGGGAATAAAAGAAGTAATATTTTACATTCTTGTGTAGCAAGTGATATTTCCGCGCGAAACAGAAATAGAATACAGAATTATGACGTCAATCGGAATTCCTGTTTTTCTCCCTTTTCATTGGCTAGAAGTCACGTCCTGTTTCCCCACTGGAGGACTACTTCCGGACGAAAAAAACTCAAGGACAAGGTGTAGAAAGGGGAAACAACTCTGTTTAGGCACGCATGTCTTACCATTAAAGAGTTTTTTGTTACAAATGGCGGATTGGGTCAAGAATTCCAAATATTTAAACTTGTTTGATTTTAAGAATCAATGGCACTCAAGGTCAACAAGTAATTAAGGATAAGGTTATAAACAGGTCAAACTGTATAATTGTCACTGCCACTATTGTGAAATATATATGAAGTCCTTTTCATTAGAAGAATTATTCTATAAAAAATCACACGTTGCGATGAATTTTCAGAATTCAAGTTGTTTGAAAGTATTTTAAAAAATATGTAGAAATGTAAACGGATAGTGACTCACTTCACATTTAGCAGTTTGAAGATATGGAATGATCAACACGAGGACACCAGTGATATATATTTCGGTAATATCTCGTTTGTTTGCCTGTCGACAAATGTCTCCCGCTCTGTAAGGTAACTTGATTCATTAAGGTGCTTTCTTCTAAAAAATATCGGTTTATACATCGGGAAATCATTTTGGTAATGTTTAAAAGGTGGTTCCTATCTATATATTTGTTCACACTTCTTCGTTATGAGGCCAAGCCATTCAATATAACTACTTTAAATACTATTGCCTGATTGTGTCCACTCCACAACTGCACTTTTGCTTTTGTCGTATATAACCTCAGACTTCAAAAAGGAAATATGATATGATCAGTTTCCTAAAATCCTTTTTAAAGGTCCTGATATGATCCGACTTTTATATGTTGGTAATAATACACAACACATATATACATTTAATTATCATGCGTTGATTGTCAAATAAATTATGAGTATTTAAATAATAATAAAATGCTGGACATGTGTCAGATTTCCAATGAGAATTCCAAACAAATTGTTTGAGATAGGACCCCGAGCGCTGGCGCTTAGTGTCTCAATTTTGTGTTCACAGTTGTTGTGAAACTGGGATTTGTTGACATTCGTTATAATAATAGTAATTCTTTATATAGCTTGCTAAAATCGTATTTATCATTACTAGTGTATCTCTATGTCAATGTGATATCAACAATACCTTTATAATCGTTAAGAGAGTCAGTTTTTTTGTTTTCAAAATGTCGGACGTCAAACTTTCCCGCAATCTATTGACAGTTTATGTCGTTGTATACGTGACGTAACTTCCGGGTTATTTCGTCAGCTATTAATAGTATCATACGTTAAAGATAACGGACTCTTTGTAATTCGTACTGAATTTGTCCATAAGAAAGAAATACATATGTAATTGTAAAATTATACTTCAAGAATGTTCTGTTGTTTTGCGTTACCATTGTGGCACGCGCTATTCGATATAAAAGCGGATTGCGGTCTGTTTTGAAGGAGTCGAGCTGGTAGAGATCCTGAGTGTACCAAGCGAGGTAACTCTTGTGAAAGGTAGGGCATTTTTATAGGAACTTAAATTATACTCTATCTAGTTTAATGGAGTATTTATATATTTCCAATTCATATTTATAACCTTCGGTGAACCGTGAAGTCGGGCTCGGAGGAAAATAAGTTACAAATACTAATTTAAGGGGTATTTGAATACATTTCGATAACTTGTGTGAGCCACGTAATGCGGAGTCACAAGAAAGTAATTGTGTTTAAGGTTTAGATAACTCTATATGTTATAACCTGTGTTGAACCGTGAAGTCGGTCTCACGGGAAACTAAAGAAACTT